CTGACATTTGGGAATAATGTTGTGTAATTAGATGAAACATGTCACGAAGATGACGGCTTAGAGGAATAAGTTGTGCAGTTGAAGAGAACGTGATTTTTTAAAGCATAAAAATGGATATAAAATAATACGAGTTAGCAGAGAATATTAATGAAAGGAACTGCAGTCATATTAAACTGGCAAAGAATAACTTTAGAGTAGAAACTTGCACGAAATGAGGTGACCCAGCTTATAGTTAATGCGTAACCGATAAATTTGTTCATTTTTTAAGGTAGCGGAGTTTTCCGAATGCGGTAGAAAAAAAAAATTCAAAGTGATTTTTCTTAGCCGTAATTTATTGGAGAGAGCCCACCAGCAACTTACTTGTTAGATCACTGAACACTGATAATTTGACTCTGGCTGCACAGGAGTTTGCATGGTCTTCCCTGTTATGTTGGACAATTTCCGTTAAGTCTTCCACAAAGTTTCCGTTATGCAGTAGGCAGATAGCTCTTGCGTAATTTGCCATAATCCAAACCTAACCAATTCATTGAAGATATTTCCAACAAAAATATTAGATCGGGATTTACTCGATTTACTGAATTTCTCATTAAATTTTTAACGTGTAAATCAAAGCGAAAAACTGAAATGTAGTATCTTCAAGTAATCGGTGTTCCTATTTTCGAGAGATTTTTATAATTTGCTGGATAGAGATTTCAAGTCAAAGCTATGATTAATAAAATTTTTCAGCGACTATTCTTAACTCTAAATTCTAAAAGCAAACTTCACCATGTGTTTAAGAAACTTTCCTTTCAGCTTCTAACTGCTTTTATTTTTCACAAATTTTTAAGGGAAACCCAAGAGAATTTTCGCAATACATTCTAAATTGGAGTCATGGCTTAACTTTCAGATAGATTTAACAAGAATCAATGGAAATAATTTTTTTAAGTTACCTTACTACTACAGTTAAACACTCATTACCAGTGCAGCAAGTGAAAGTATGTTTCGTTAAAAATATAAATCTAGCGTTTCAGTTGTCTATAAACTTGCCGAAATAAGTCTAAATCTTTAATGTAATTTTCTTCACTTGCAACCTATTTTTTTCATTGATAAAACATGCTGATTTCATTTTTTGTGAATGATTAATGAAAAATACAATGCATGGGTTTTAAACTCTTAATAATCTCAGTTATCGCAATATCACTAATATTTAGAAATTCGTTGCAAATATATTATGAAGAAAGTAACTACGGGAGCTTACACTAACGGACTTTTTTGCTTAGTCTATTAAGCGCTTTATCACTGCTATGTACTATGCCCAAGATCATCAGTGGGTTAAGAGTTAGTTACTTAAATATAGTACTTTTATTCAATTATAAAGACCCTTTCGTGACTTGCTTCATCTGCGGCCGAGTGGTAGGTCGCTTGAACACTGGTAGTTTTCGACCCAGGTTCAAATCCTGGCTGATGGGTTCGCTGTGTATATGGGAGTTTTCATAGATTTTCCTACGTGTAAAAGTGGGTACGAGTGAATTTCGCTTAGCAAGATCTCCCCGAAGGCATCTCTCCCCTAAGGCAGATAGCGCGGAGCGCTTTGCGATAATCAAACAAACGAAAATAAAATTTGAAGAATATTCGTGTCCCGCCATTTACAAAAAAATCACCAGCCAGTTCTTCATTTTTCTTATAAAGCGCATTTTCAACAAGTTTCTTGGATTTGATCATTACTAATGACCTATTTAAAGTGGTTATGACAAACAGTATGCAAGAATCACAAACGTTAAATGCAAAATTATGAGAAAAAGTACCCTCGGATTGTTGTAAATTTTAAATAAAAAGAAATTTCCTAGGTGACTGATTTACTAAATGTGGGTTTCACTTCAACAACGAACAAATTTTACAAAATTTATGCTCCCGAAGCATAAAAGCTCCTTATTTTCACTCCTGCAGAAGAGATTCATGTCAATCTTCTACAAATCCACAGTTTTAAAATTGCGTCAATCTTAAGTATTTTGTCTAATTTTATAACTGGTTTATATGAAGTTTCCTGACTCCTGTTACAAGACTGGAGGCAGACTATTCTGTTTCTGGTGCGCAATTTTTTGTCTTTAGGATGTGAAGCTTCTCGAAGTTTAACAATTCTGCCTTCACTCGAACTGAGCAGTTGGACTATTTTACTTATGTTGTCGAAAGCACCTTTAAACCACTTTTGAGCGGAATCACCTTATGTTTATTGGTTTTTTTTACTAATTGTACATTATAATTTATATTTTTCTGTTTTATTTTCTCTGAATTGTTTTCAATTATTTAAGTAAAATCAGGTGTATATTCTATTTTTTCCAAGGGCTTACACTGAAATATGTGCTTGTCATGTCATGTTACACAGAATATTCTTTAAAAATAGTACTATGTGTAGCTTTATTTCCGTAACTAGTAGTTTTGAATACTGCAACTTCTGGTAAACAAGTTAGAAGTTTTGAGAGCACAGTTTCAACACAAGTAGAATGCAGTTTTTAAAAATGCAAAATTTAATTTTTGTTTACATAATCAGAGAAAGCCTAATTAAAGGAGTGTTCATTTTGTTTTATTCCAAGTGGGCGCTTGTATATTAGCAAGTGCCCACTTGTATATCTCCAGAATTTCTATGCCTTACCTCCTGCGATCTTTCTAGAAATTTAGAAGAAATTGTTTTTGTTAATGATTTTTGCTCAGAGAAAGGAGATAGCTTTTTGATTTTAACATCAATATGGAAACAACTAGAAAAGCATATATCTGCTCTGCATCTAACACTTTTGCAGAAAATCATTGGAACATTGTTTGTTCGTCTCGTGTTTTGCGTTTACTAGATATGCTGAAAAATGAAGCAGAAGAATCCGTTATTTCCAGGTGCGTGGTATTTCGCTAAAAAAAATAGTGTACTACAATTCTTATACAATGTCGGAAGATATACGATAGGAATATGTCAAAGGCCGATGCAGAATTGTAATAAAAACGGGGAATTAGTTGGACAAAAGTCAGCTGCCTAGCCGAGTTCATATGAAAACAAAGACAAGTTTCTGAGAACAATCTGAGATTTTGAAAGCGAGAGCCAGAAAAATACCAGTTTTTCATCTATGTGCTGATATCAAAAATTATTCTACCGCCAAAAGATGGCATTATTTGTGGTGCATTGGTGGAATCAATGCACAAGTACCGCAAAAACTTCCTTAGGTTTATATACAACATTTTTATAATTTTTCCTAAATTTTCCTTTAACATCACTAGGGAATTACTGAAAAAATGGCGGTTAACGAAAACCGTATTCGAGAAGAAAGTACTAATTTTTAACTTTATACCTGGTTCCAAGAAATTAATTGCTTGTATCGTATTTCTTAATTTTGCATACATATTTAAGGAACGTTTGGCACTTAACATTTTAAGGGCATAATAAACATTTTTATAACTGGGACTTTTCTCTAAGAGCTCCTATAAGATGTTCACTTTTTTAATTTCCAAAATTGTTCTACCCGCAGTGCCGGATTTCTTAAGTTTCTTTATATTATTAAGAGAAATTTTGTAATTGGAGTTACATGCTTAGGATTAAGAATTAAGGAAATAAGATCCGCAGTTGCATTTTTACTACTCTGCCTTTAAGTTACCATTTTAAATTGGTTTAGATTGAAAGTGTCTTTAACACTTCAGCACTAGAATTTCTTGTACCTTCAGTATAACAAGTTTAAAGCCCTGGCTACCGCATACGTGTATATTTTTTAATACTACGCGGCAGAAGAGAAGCTCCACACACGGTGGCGCACGAAATGTTATACCATTTTTTGTTTTGTTTATTAAATTTATCACAAACAACAAAATGAATGCAAAGTTAATTATTCGAGCATGAAAAGGAAATTTAGCGCAGAATGGGTTACATTTTGTTGCACAACCTCTTGGAAGGAAAACTTTGTTTTTCTTCCAAGATTTTGCATTTGTAACAGCCTTTTCAGCGCACGTTCTCAAAACTGCATAAATGCCTTGAGTTGCATTACATTTACAGGTTTCCTTTCAAATACCTTTTTTCCAAAAAATCCCATAAAACTAAATCTTGTGGACTAAAATCCGAGCTAGGTTGGGGGGGGTCACCCTCTTCCACCTTGGTAACATCCAGGAGGTCGAAGTGACAGTATATAATCGTATCGCACATCTCGTAGAGGAAATCAAGAGCAATATCTGCAGTGTGTGCGTGGGCTTCGTCCTGCATAAACTACTGAATTTGTAAACGGAGACCTGTTGTCATTTTCAAATGTGAGGGACACCAGATGGGTCCCGTCGATTCGTCAACACGCAGCAAGTATCATCCAGATGCTGATTAAATCTGATCTGCAAGAACCTCATATTATGCCATTGTGTGCACGAAAACATCTTTGTTTAGCCACTCATCTCTTCGCTTCTTAAAAAGACGTTGGAACTTTTACCTTCTGTGCAACACTTGGCAGATCTTGCAACCAGCTGTTTCGTGGCAAATGAGTCTGCTACTAGATTTTTCCTAACATTGCCAGATAGCAGATCTTCCATAGACTAAAGCAGCAAAATACACTTTTTAACGTCTAGTTTATAAGTCTTGTGAGGCGATTCACTGTTACATTTCATGAGCTACCCTTTATATTTTGTCAGTGCTTGTTATGAAATCTTCCGTTCTAAAGCAATTGTTTAAAACTTGGACAACGGCAAATTTATGATTTCGGTTTCTAAGCATTTTATCCAATTTGTATTAACTCCCGACCAATGAGCTGTATTTAAGTAACTTTCTCAGTTTTTAGGCTCTTAAATAATGGTTGTTTTGGCTATTTCTCTGATAAACGCCAATGCGTCTTTCGTTCTGTACTTTATTTGCTAATGTCTGTAATTTGTTGAATTTAGCAATCTTTGAAGTTTACTGTTTATTTCTCCATGTAAGTAGAATTCTTGTCTTGCATGATATAACGATTTTATTCTTTATTCAATATTTAATTAATGAGACATTTGTTTTACATCTACTTACTTTATGCTAGCAATGTTCATCAATGTAATATTCGTCTAAAGCCACCTAAGAAAATACCTACACCATACGGAGGTCGTCTGGTATGGTTAATGCCTGGCAAAAACAAACTGATCGCCCATCTGAAAGATAAAGCTAAAATTAGGCATAGGAAAAGATGGAGTCAGGTATGATTTTATTCAAATTGTATTCGTTTTTTTTTTTTTTTTTTTTTTTTTTTTTTTTTTTTTTTATGAGTTGTACAATTTGTATTTAGCAGCTAAAGAAACAGTCAAAATAATATCCATAGAGGTAGCAAAACAAGTTTCTTACTGTAGTGTATTAATACAAAGGTCAGTCATGATTACCAGATAAATTGTTGGATTCAATTTTATAAAAGGCTATCTTAAATAGCTACTGTACCATTCGTAAGATAAACTTCGTAAAATTCACCAAGTCTTAATTCAAATTTCGTAGTTGATCGCACAAATAATGCAATTCGAAGTCAACATTCAGAAAGAAACAAGTTTATGTCAATTAAAATTTTTAACATAAAATTCATGAAGACTTTCCTATTTTCTTAGATTTAAAGTATGTGAATTTAAATTTAATTCCTCTCTGAAAATTGAATGGTAAGAGTTAATTTCTTTTACTTCAGATTGGAAATGAAAATCGGCAATTGTAAAGGGTTTCTTTCATAACTGCATGATGAATTGGATCATAACAGCCAAAAAGGGAACAGAAAATATTTTTTATGTTTTACAGTATAACTTTGAGGCACAGCTAAATTCCATATTATGGTCCAGGCAGTATTTTGAAACGAACTCAAATTAACCAAAGAATCTTCTTAGCTGCTCATGAATGGAACTAGTTATCAGTACTTTTCAATATTTTTTTATAAGCTCCATATAAGTTCACTTCAGGCCATTTTTCAGTAAAACTTCGACCATTCACATAAGCACCATCCGTTTTGGATTTATCTCCACATAAACTCTGCAATGGACTTGCCTAAGTTTCTATTGCCTAAAACAAGGAATACCAAAGATTTAACACAGATGATCCGTTCAGATTAAAATATAGCACCTTCTTAGGTACCTGTTACACCTAACTACTGGAATGGTAAAGCCGCGGAATTCTGGTAACTGCACTTAATTCCCAAAGGCCGAATGATCTTACTGATTGATTGGGTGTTTTCGTTTTCTTTTCTTTAATATAAAAAGAGTAAGTCATCCCTTAATCAACTTACACCAATGAGGTTCTTTGACATAAATTTAGCGATATTACAAGTGTATAAAATGCCGTTAGTCGAAAGCTCGATTCTGTTGTGTTCTTAAGTGAGCTGGTAGGTATCTAATGCCTTAAATACAAAAGTACTGATTTGTGTATTTCTTAAATCTTTTCATGGAACAGTAAGTATTGATCATTTGCTTTTGATTACTATCGTAAAATGTTTGACCTTGTTGAAGTACTAATGTACATGTAGCATAGTATTCGATTAAAATATATTTTCGTGAAGATGCTATGGAAGTGAGAGATCGTTTAATATTAAGCTTTACCATGGGCGGTTAATTCTCTAGTGTTTTGTAATAAATAGCCAGTCGTTCACATATCTTCCTGGCTAAGATATTTTAAGGTATAAGGTGAGCTTTAATTTTTGCCTCTATATTTTTTCTTTTGCATTAAAATAGTATTGAATCCACCTGCATGCGATGCTTCTATGGGAATTTTGACTCACTATTAGGATATTTTGACGGACTGTTTTTCGAAAGTCACCAATTAGTATCTATTCTGAGTCTGAAATCTTTAAGGGAAGAATAACTTTTGATGATTAAAACTGAACTTTGAAACTTAAGTTTTCAAAATTTACTTTTTTAGTGTAGCTCCATGATAAAGCTTTCATGAAGAGATGATGTAAAAATAAAATATTACTGCGTATCTTCCCAGTAGTTTACACGTAAATGATAATATTTCATTTTAAAAATCAATAGTTAGCGGAGTTCTTAAATGCATAAATTCAGTAAATTGTTCATTGAAATAAATTCTAATAATCTATTTACTAATGTTAGTTTTGATATTATTGTATTTGATAATTTCTTTAGTCTCAACACACTTTTCCTATTCTTGCTTGAAAAATGTATTTCTGCAGGTGATGTATATGTATTATTTGTTGGGTCATCGCTTGATGGAATTGCCGATTGATGTCAACAGAAAAGCTACTATGGCAGAAAACACATTTGTTCTAGCTTTGGATGGAGATATTAATTTTCGGCCGCATGCCGTACAATTATTAGTGGATTTAATGAAGAAAAACAGAAACCTTGGAGCAGCATGTGGTCGTATTCATCCTGTAGGGTCAGGTAAGTTAATTGCCTTTTTTTCTAATGAAACCGCAGTATTAGTTATGAAGAACGTAATTTGAGCTCAAAGTAAACTCACTACAGATAAGAAATTACAATGCTATTCTTGAAAGCTTGGTACGGTTTGAGTATGACCTAATAATTTGCAAAGTCTCTGAAAGTACTGACAGGCATTTAGTAAATGTTTTACGGACTCTTAAAACACCAAACCACTCCAGCAGAGCAAAATAAGAACTGAGCAACGGAAATGAAGGGTAGACATTACGTCGATTTATGCAATTCGTGGATTGGGAGTCCCCGTCATTGGATTGAAAACGTGCAAGTGGTCGTCGTGCCGCATAGCCGATCTTTTACCGATCGTTTGCACCCACGGCACTGGGAGCAGTAGACATGTAGAGACGCCCATATGCGACGGACCTGATCAGATGAAACGGGAAGACCACCAACAGAAAGGCCTGAAGGAATGGGCATCTGTTTATCAGTTTAGGCAAGATGCGATTCTTTTGCGCCAAAGAGCCACTTTCAGATAGATATTTTACGGAAACGAATTTGCGATCTCACGCCCTTAATGTGTACTATCTTTAATACCTAATACCTGAAGATCTGCGGCTCTCTTTGTAGTAGGGCCATCCCAAAGTAACCTGGAATGTTACTGTTAGCGAAGTGTCGTTTCATTTTGGGTACAAATGTTCGTATACGGGTACGGAGGTCACCTGCTCAAAGGCATAATATCAACTATATTATCTACTAGAACACTTCTTTTCCTGTAGACATATGGCTAGAAGCTCCAGTCTGCGAAAGCCGAATCATTCTAGCAGTCTTACGTGGAACATAAGTCCAGAGGTGTGCGGCTGAGATTCTACCGTCCCATGTAATGCCATTCCTAGTTGGGATTCGAGATGCAATATTATAGCAGGATTATTCCAGTCGCATACATTTCGGATCGCCCAGAACTTCAGCGTATGTCCATGTAATTCCATGGCATACCCGCTTCCCAGACTAGTTCCGTATCGAAAGTGTGTGGGGTCAGTTGAAATTAACTTCTTTTCTGTCTGAGCTTCCAGGATTTGGAGTACTCGTCAAATAAGTGTTGGCTTATTCACCGGAAGACAGTACATGTTCGGACACGTATATGTTCGATTCCAAGCAAAACCGAATTGCGGCATGTATTGAAGGATGAGGGGATGCGACATGTTATTAAAGATGACAAAAGTGCGCTTCAGAAATCCCTTTAATTGTTCTTCCGTTCTCTATCGGACATCAATTGTATATCATTAACTTCTGTCATTACGTAAAAGTTTCAGCCTAATTTGATGGTTCCTGCTTCCGTTAGTTTATTTCATTCTCCACGAGTTTACCATTTGTAGATATACTTTAATAATTTATTAAATAGACCTTTTGATCTAAATTGCATTTCAATACACTAGAAGCACAAACTTGCATTATAAGATAATCTAGCTTTCTTAATTACTTGCGAGGAATTTATAATCCAGATTTATTATATAAACATTGTTTGAAAAATGTCTGCGGCTAGTTCTTTAAAATTTTAAATTAACTGAATGTGTTTAATTAAACAAAAAAGGCTTTAAATTTTTTTAAGAGATTTTAACGTTAGTGGCACATTAGATTCAAGAATTGGACTCCTAAGCTTTACATAGCAATTTTGTTTTGTGGTGTTAAAGATTATTTTAGTTAAAAGTAAACCATTTTTAATTACCTTTATAATCCTTTTCGGCGCCTTATAGAGTAAAAACAGTTAATCCTTATATTTTATTCTGATAAGCTTCAGCAAAATACACAAGTCTTTATAAAATTTATTAATCTTGTTGAACTATAATCTCCATAGCCAGAATGCCGCCTTTCTTACCGTAGGACTTAAAGACTGCTAATACAAATTGGAATGAATTTTTATGGAATGGAATTTACATCTGAAATATAAAGTAGAAATCTTATAAAATGCTTAAATAAAATATTTGGAAAATTTTCAATACCACTCACTTTAGAGAAACTGTTTTTATGAAAGAAATTCCAGTATATCCGTATACCAGTATCGTAACACCTTGAAAACTGCCGAATTCGTACCAAGGTAATTTGCATGCAATCAGTATAATTAAAAAGTACCTAGAATTTTAAATGTCCGAATTAAATGCTTGAAGGTTCTATAATAACTATCGAGGAAGAGTTCTGCTAGATTCTGTATCCAATAGAGTTAAAGCAGTATTGTAAAATTTTCCTTTTGCATTCAACAAGAAAATAGCTATAATTTATGTTGAACGTGAACGTGCTTTAAAATTTTTATTTCAGGTCCCATGGTATGGTATCAAAAATTTGAGTACGCCATAGGACATTGGCTACAAAAGGCTACTGAACATATGATAGGTTGTGTTCTCTGCAGTCCTGGTTGTTTTTCACTCTTCAGAGCTAAAGCTTTAATGGATGACAACGTCATGCGAAAGTATACAACGCGATCAGATGAAGCTCGGCATTATGTGCAGTACGATCAAGGTAAAACTTTAATTACTTGTTCAAACTTTTATGAAAACGCATGAAATTTTAATTTTTAACTAAGATGTTTCGTTAAGATGGAAGAATTTATTTTCAAGTTTTTTCCAGAGCAGTGAATTACGGTATGAATTGTACTTTTTAAATTTAGCTGCCAAAGAAATTTTGAAATTAAATCTTTAGCTTGAAGATGCTGTATTTTAATTTTAATCCAATATTTTAATTTTCCTTTTAATTGTTAAACACTATTTTTAATTTAATTTAAAAGGTCTTATAGCATTTAATAGAACTGAAATTACTGACCGAAAATGCTTACATACAATTAAAAATGAATGCTTTCGCCCATTTTAAACTTCTGTTTTATGCAGATATGTAACAGGCTATCCAGCGGAAATACAGACGTAACGCAATAAATGTTTATTGTATATGCTGGAAACCATGCAAAAGTTTAAAAAATATACAGATAATTATAATTATATTCTATCTTTCGCCATCTATCAGACGTATTAGATTTCATCTCTATAAACCGACATCCAGGGTGTGGTTTGTTCGGAAACTTAGTTTCCTTTGCCGAAATATGGCGGAACGTTTCCATCTTGATATTGTACCGGATGCATTTTCATACCAATCGATTTGCTCGTATATCCCCGAATAAGCTTTCCCAGATACTTTAATTTGAACTCGTGAAATTTAAGCAGTCTAACTTGCTTTCTGTCAAATTCATTTTGTTGCCGAATTTTTAGAGATTTCGATAGCTATACGGATTACAACATACAACTTCACGTATATAATACACTTATCTGTGACATTTTGGGAAACCGAGTGACTGAATTTATTAAGTTCTGAAAATTAATCATTGTATTAAAGATAATGATTTACTACCTTGGTTAATAAACTAAACACATGGAATTCTCCTTTTTATCTGCAGGTGGAAAATGTATTACTTAAATTTTAGTTAAAAAAAATCTGCTTAAAAATAAATATGAGATCCTGTAAACGCTTGGGAAATATTTAAGAAAAGAAACTTTCTATTAAGGAAAAGGACTAAGTGAAATTGAACTATTTCAAGAATACTGATTATCAGTTTTAATTTAATTTATTGGTTTTATTTATGCCATCTGATTAGAAAGTTTAAATGCAGTAAGACAAGTTTTAGAATCTAACACATGCAACATAAAATTAGAAAATATTTGTAAGAAAGACACGTCTTCAGCTTTTAATTTGTACGTCTTCAGCTTTTAATTTGTACGTCTTCAGCTTTTAATTTGTACGTCTTCAGCTTTTAATTTGTACGTCTTCAGCTTTTAATTTGTACGTCTTCAGCTTTTAATTTGTATGCCTTTTTTTATATAATCGCCAGTATTCGTTGTTTCATGAGTCCAGCAAACACCCGCATTATCAATAATTTACAAGGGTTAGAAGGCGAACAGGAGCATATTAAGAAGGAACTAATTTAATACGAAACTTATGCTCTAAAATTTATTAGACATAATATAAAACAGTCTACATTCCGACAAAAAATTAGACTACTGAATTTTGAAGGTCTAGAAGGAACTCTAGACGACATCTAAACACAGGCCTGAATATTTGATTCGAACAAATAACCGAATTAAATTTATAGCATAAACCTAAAAATTGTGTTGGGAACTGAGAGCAAAGTTTCCAGCCAGTTTAAACAGGGTAGTTGCAGGAAGTCTCGTATTTTTATCAATGTATAAAGTAATTTCCTTGGAAAATTCTCCACGGAAGTCGCTGGCTGATTTTATGGAGATGCAAGTTAGTGTATCACTAGGTATTCTTATTTCCAGCAAGTGCATTTTATTTTTATCTCTGGTCCACCTGGCAGAGTGGTAAAATCACTGAACTCCCGGCGAACGGGCTGGCTGAGTGTAGTTTTCGTAGTTTTCCTCATATGTAGCGAAGGTAGGTCGCCTTTCTGCGCTTTCCCATAACTTAATAATCAATGAACTTGTATTGAAATTTTACTAGATGCTATACTAAATCTGGTAGACTGCAATTCATATTGAGCGAAAAATCAGTATATTTTGTTGCGTTTAACTTTGTAACTGTGCCTGAAACTAAAATTTACATTTAAAAATGATGGGAGAATAAATTTTATTTTTACATTAAGTAGGAGTTTTAAATTATTTCCATTTTTATGCTTCCTGATATCTGAATTGGAGTTAAATGATTTATTGAGAATTTAATTAAACGTACCTCCAATTTTTATACATAAATATGAGAGTCCCCCCCCCATTTGGTTTATAACTGTGAATATGAACAGAGCAACAAAGCAGTCTTTATCCATTTATTGCAGGAATTTTCTATGTAATAAACTAATGTCGCACTGAAATTTTCTGAAGCATTCTTATTTGCAATTTACTTCAAAATTAACAGTCCTAAAGTGTAAAACTTTTTGAAAACTTGTAATTTTCCAAGGATAGCCCAAATGCTAATTTAAATGTTATATTTTAAGGTGAAGATCGCTGGCTCTGTACTTTATTGTTGCAGCGTGGCTATCGTGTTGAATACAGTGCCGCATCAGATGCTTACACTCATTGCCCTGAAGGATTTGGAGAATTCTACACGCAGCGCCGACGGTGGGCTCCCTCAACTATGGCGAATATCATGGACTTATTATCTGATTATAAAGCTACTGTAGCTATCAATGATAACATTTCTGTTCCTTATATTATCTATCAGGGAATGCTCATGACTGGAACTGTACTTGGTCCGGGTACGATATTTCTTATGCTGGTGGGAGCAATGGTTGCAGCCTTCAAGATTTCAAACTGGAATTCCTTCACATACAACATAATTCCTATACTTCTATTCATGATTGTTTGCTTCGTATTTAAAAATGACATCCAGGTAAGCTTCTTTACCCACATTTTTTAACTCTATAAAATAGGAAACTTCAGTAATGCTGGAAATCTCTTCCATGTATTTAACACTTAAGAGCTTTACTAGCGGAAGTGCGTTAAAATGTGATTTGAGTTTTCTTTTGCATAAGTGCTATAATCCTTGATTTTTAAATATTAATTGTTATCTTCAAGTAGCGTCTTTGGTGCAAATTTAATGCATCGTAACTTGAAATCTGACTCGTAAACCTAATTGACATGGAAAATGTTTTTAAACTGTGGCAATACCAGAAATAACTTTCAGGGCACACTGCTTGATAAATTTTTGTGAGTAATGTCTATCGAAGAAGAAACTGTTTCAAATTCCTTTTGACATAGATTTGAAGTTAATAATGTAGTGACCAAGCATTGGCTTAGATAGAAGGGATTTTAAGCAATTTAATTAGTGTCGCGCAACAATATGTTGATAGAATGAATTAGACATTTGCTAATGAATCCAAAATAAAAATTTTTAATTGATTTTAAACATTATCATACAGAGCCATACGTCTAAGACGAATTTCATTAGGATCAACAAAAATGTGCTGTGACATAACACTGATGCTGTGTAACATCACTTTAGATCATAATGTTATATACAGTGAAGCAAAGAACTTTGAACATTTTGCTCATCTGAGTACATTCAATTTTAAATCCTCACATAAAAGGCAAAATGCATGCGTAATTGATACCCCACGGCTTAATATAAGCCCAAAAGTGCTCATGTCAACAATAAAAGGAAAATCCCTTAAGTTTCAACAAAAGCTCTTCGAAATTGTAACAAACAAGTGGACTTATTTCAATAAACCACCGAAACGGCCTGCTCTTTCTGTATTTTAAAAAAGGATTATCTTGGAATGTTGTTCGTACACGAAGTACTTCGAAGAACACGATTGCAGTGTTATAATTCCGTAATTTTACAATCATTAATATGAAGTTTTATAGAAATGTAAAATGCTGATTAGTTTATTAAGATTTGTTTGCCGGAAATTAGAACTAAACTTGGGACCGGGGGAGAAAGGAAAGGATAAAGATCATAACTCGGCATGTTGATGCCAGCCTCCACATTGCGTGAACTTTGTTATTTGAGGAGGGCATGAGAAAACTTATTTGTATCCTTGTCTTTATTTGCTTAATTTAACACCTAATAATTTTGTCTGCTTCAAATGTAAATGTTGCAAATCCTTAACACCGCAGCTTATGAGCGGACAGTATTTTTAAGATATTAGATTATGGTAAAACCTGAAGTAGAGGCTTTCGAGGCATAAACCGAGTAGCAGCTGAAACTTGTATTTATAGTATACGAAATTTCTGAATGCATAAGAATTGAAACTTGTTTATTCAAACGAAAAACAGTGTTGATGTAAGGCGAATATTTTAAAATACTATAAAACAATGTGCCAAAATATTTCTTAACATTTTCTAAAATTTTTATTAAAATAAAAAAATTTTACGCATTGACGTAGAACATATTCCAGTACCCAATTGCTACATATTCATACGTAGTACTAAAATGGCTGGATACCTGGTTGGTTAACTGATTATGACAAAACACTTAAGGGCTATCTAATTTAAGGGAAAGGTGCCTTCCTAGAGGACTTCCTAAGGAAAAATAGCTGGTATACCAATTATTTGTGAAGGAAAAACACTAAAATTTCCATGCAGCCACCCTAGTCACTGGGAATGGAGCCTGGGACGAACTATTAGTATTAGACGGTTTTCATAAAAACTCCACTTATCTGCTAGGTTAGTGTAGACTTCTAGCCGCATGGAGTGGAGTCCCCAATTTTTTATACCTGTATAATTCTGTTGACTGCTATTTAGTATGTTCAATTACAAACCTCATTTAAAATGTTTCTTAAAAAAAAATTAAAGTCCACACCGAAGTGAATAAGATTGTTAAATATGGGTTGTCTGTTTCAGCTTTTTCGGGAAAACGGGCTTGCTGCGTGGGATTTTCTTGATTTTTTTCCCCATAAATAAACAATGTAAAGCAAATGTAGGCTAGTTTCCTTCAAATTCTCCACGAAATCTCGGCTAGCCATCTTCGATTGAACAAATAACTTTGTACCTATTGTTTTTAGTGACACATAACCCCATGTGTTCCATGCCTCAGAGTAGCAATCCTGTTATTACAGGGCCCACCAGCGGCCGAGCGGTAAAGTCGCTGAACACTGGTAGTTCGGTCTGAGATTCGAATCCCGCGAACGGGCTGGCTGCATGGGTGTTTTCGTGGTTTTCTCCATGTGTAACGTGTATACGAGCCAGTTTCCCTTAGAAAGTCCTCCACGAAGGCATCCTTCCCCTTAGGCAGATAGCCCTCGTGTGCTTTGCCATAATTAAATAACACCACACCACCACCTGTTATTTCAGGGGAAAAAATTGTTTTTGACCACCACTTCTGTTGGTACAAGAGTCTTACAAAATTTTACTTTTTATTGGAGCTCACGGAACACAAACCCCAGTGAGTAAAATATTAATGATGGTTTCATAAGTTAAAGTATATTTATATGAAATAGTGAAGCCATCGAGAGAAAACAATTACTGACCCTGTGTTACTTCTCAATACGTATTCTTGAGCAAATCTGAATTTTGCTTAGATTTTAGAAAGTATAGAAAATTTTCGCATTTAATTATTCTGCATTGGATGAAACTGACTCTATTGATTTTGTAGATGGACACGTGAAATAATTAAGAATTTTCAAGGGAGCTTGTTCCTGTTTATTAATAAATGATGCAACCATCATTTAACATTTGTCATATATTGCGGTTGTTTATCAAAATTAAAGAGACTAAATTAATTGCCCCTGTGTCTTAAATTTATTCAAGGCATAAATTTCTGTCTTTTAAGTTATCTTGTTCTCAACAGTGGTTTTTTACTTTTCAGATAATGGTAGCTCAAGTGATGAGCGCAGCGTATGCTTTGCTTATGATGGCTGTTCTTGTTGGTACGTCCATCCAACTCAGTGAAGATGGAGTAGGTTCTCCTTCATCTATTTTTCTAATTGCGTTATCAGGAAGTTTCTTCATAGCAGCGCTACTTCATCCTCAGGTATTAAAACTGTTACTTGTTTAAAATCTTACTCATTACTTTTTAGTAAAAGCTTTAACTTTGTAATCATTGTTTTCACCCTTTGTTTAGCGCAGACAACCTCGTAAGGTTTTGAACCAGAAATTACAATAAATCAAATTATTAAAAGCTTTGTATTATACTGTGGATGAAAGTTGATGCGAAGTATCAATTTGAGTTAAAATTTGATACAGGCTCAAGTCATTTTACAAGAACAAAAGTAGGGATGATACAATACTCGAATGGAATGAACTATACAGGAATTCTACTACTGCCTCTTTGACTAAACTATATTTTCCTTCCATTCCTCACAGACTGAATAATAAACACTTTTTCTGCAATTTTGAAGTTACTCAATTTCTAACTGGACATGCTAAATTCAATTCATATCTGAAGAGATTTAATTATCTAGTGCCCACCAGCGGCCGAGCGGTAAAGTCGCTGAACACTGGTAGTTCGGTCCGAGGTTCGAATCCCGCGAACGGGCTGGCTGCATGGGCGTTTTCGTGGTTTTCCCCATGTGTAACGTGTATACGAGCCAGTTTCCCTTAGAAAGTCCTCCACGAAGGCATCCCTCCTCTTAGGCAGATAGCCCTAGTGTGCTTTGCCATAATTAAATACACACACACACACACACACACACACACACACACACACACACACACACACACACACACACACACACACACACACACACACACACACACACAATTATCTAGTATAGACTTGGGTTCATGCAGTTTCGGGGGAGTGCAAAATGTCGAACATTTGGTGTTCTATTGTTCAAAGCTTAAGGACGAAATAAACTCATTTCTATGTGAAACTCTGTGAATATTACATTTCCTCCCTCTCTTCACGTATTTGTCCAACATAAAATGGCTTTCTCTTCTGTAAATTTATCTCTTACGTATCATCTGTGAATTTGTAAGTTTATTTTATTTTGTATTGTGTTGTTGCATTTGTTTTTTTTAACTTACCTCTCTAAGCCTTGTGTAATACTATGTGGTGCACAAGGGTTTAAAATTTTCAATAAAGAAAAAAACTGTTGTCGAATTACTCGGCATCACAGATAAAACTAAGTATTAACTGCATATTTACTTAAGATATTTCTTTAAAATTCGTTTATTAAGACATCGGCTCCCAAAATTATTAAAGCCCAAGTCGTAACTTCTCCAAGTTTTCCTTACGTGTATTTTTATAAGCGTAACTTCTTTGAAGACTCTTTCTAAAATTAAAGTAGTAATAGGTCAAATTTTATGTAGTGTTAAAACTCTTTGAATAATTTCTGATTTGATATGATGCATTTAAGTATACCTTTTACGCAAGCATGTTTTGCAAATTTCGTAGCAAAATTTGGTGAACTGTGTATTTAATAGCTTTACGAATACTTGAATATTCGTGCTGCAAATTTCACCTCGTATTGTAAGAATTATCTGCTTATGATATGATAGAGACGTGCTATGCATTTCTCCATCTGGAAAAGAGCTAAATATGGAACCCTATATACAGTTTAGTACATCTGTGCACGTGTTCTTTCAATAAAGGTAAATATTTTGTCTTAATACCGTGAATCTTATTTAATTTTAATTGTAATGCTTTGTCAAAGAAAAAAATAAAAGTATACGGAATTAAGATGCAAAATATTTTAGAATCTTTCAGCGTTTTGACCGAATTTTGGAAATTCAGTCAAAACTCTGAAAAAATAAATTACACAAACAGCACTCGGTATGAGAGTTAACTCATAATTCTGATGTGGACGACACTCACTCGGAATATTCGGCTGATCACTACTTACTCGGTAATAAAAGAACATTTAAGTTTCACCTTGTCATATCTCCTCCCCTCCTAACTGAATAGCCTAAGAGGCTTCACCATATTAAACTTCGAATTTGATAAATAGCTAGAACACTTGTTCTATTTATTCTATTTAATACTGACGTTCAAATTTCAGTTTTTCTAAGCCGAAAGGCTTTATCATGTTCATAACTTCAGTTTTCAATTTTTATGAATGTAGCTTAATTTCTTTTAACAGAAGTTAGCTTGTATTAAATCTAGTCTTTTATACCAATTGCCTTAGAAGATCGAAATTTTGAGTGCGCTCATCTGGAATCTGAAAATAAGTGGAATGAAACATTTATAAAATCAAGTTTATGTTAATCAGTTATCTTGGAATTAGTGGGTTAAATATCATTGCGATAGATTTCAAAACTTTATTTCTTTGATAATAAAATTTTTGTCTCGTAAAAAAGGATAGGAAAAAAGGAGATATGTCTTCATTTCTCTTTATGTTCCAGTACTGACAGAAAATGAAATAAGAAATGAATTCTTTTTAGTATCGTTTAGCAACAAATATGAACATTTCAGCAATAACTAGTCAGCTCTAAAAAATTGTACAGGGATGCAATAGGACGAACTTGACTCTCATATCTCATTCCAAGGCAAACCGTATTGAAAAATGCTACTTCGTTCAGCTTATGCTACTCGTTTAAAAAATATACCTTACATCAATTTCTTGCATTTTTCGAATAAAATTTGCTATCGAGTGAAATGTATGGGCTAGTCCTTGTCCTATTGCGTCCACACTTAGTTTGACTTAAAAGCTTTTCCTTTTCCGAGTTCTGATAATTCTAGATAGCTAGATTTCCCATAGTTATTCTAAGTTAATGAATTTGATCTAATTAGTAAAATTCTATTAAATAAAAGCAATTTTGAATTCATGAATAATTTATTTCATTTTTTAGGAATTCTGGTGTGTTCTTCCTGGCTTGCTGTATTTTCTAAGTATTCCATCTATGTACCTATTGCTCATCATTTATTCCCTTGTTAATCTCAATGTGGTAACTTGGGGCACAAGAGAAGTGCAAACTAAGAAAACGAAAAAGGAACTGGCGGAAGAAAGAAAAGAACAAGAAGAATTGCTAAAAAAGAAACGCAACCCAGATTTGTTATCATTCCTTGGTTTGGGAGGTAAAGATAATGAGGAAGGTAGCATAACTTTGAGTTTAGCTAATCTATTTACCTGCATGCTTTGCACTTACCCAAAATCCAATGAAGATAAAATGCATTTAATGAAGATAGGGGATCAGCTTGAGCAAATGAATAAGAAAATTGCAAATTTAGAGCGACAGCTGGAACTATCGCATGCAATTCCTTTCCGTGGTCGAAAATCTTCAGTAGGAGGAAGAGGATCTGTGCGTGCTGCATCTGAAGCTGGATTATCTGTGGTTAATGAAAATGACGATGATGAAGCAGAATTTGACTCTGGATCTGAAGTACCTCTCAGTGAGGGATTAGGTAATTGTTTTCTTATTTCATTGTACATTTTCTTGAGAATAACAAAGCCATGTTAAATAGATCTTCGTACAATTATCTCTTAATGTAGTTTTAAATACTTTTCAAAACTTCCTGTACTCTATAATTTTCGAGAAGCTTACCTGTGACCAAGAGACGTAAAGGCTGATACGTGCGGTCAAAGGTGTGATTCTCGGGGACAGAGCTGGTACAATGCAGGTTTATTTTCGTTAATTTTCGCTTTGTCTTGCAAATAAAAATCAGTTTTGTAAAGAAAGGCTTCTAGAAGATACTCCTCCCAAGTACGATTGCCACCGTGAGATTTGCTCTAATTTAATGTGCTCTGAAAGGTCTGAACAATTGTTACCCAAATAAGAAAAAACTCCAAGCTTGAGGCATCTTGCAAAACATCACTTAGTTAAATGATATAAGTTACTGCAATTATTAACTCTTAATGGGACCAACAGGAATATACTGCTTTGAGCTCACCTATTGCTTTCATACTTCATATAAGTTTTGAAAGTGTTGCATTTGCAATAGCTTGGAGCCTTTTCTGAAACAAAATTGTATAAATTGCTTGAATCATTTAAATTGATGAAGGTCTTTAACGCTATATAGCTCACATGCGGAACCTCATATGCATTAGACAGGACTTCTCTTCTCATTGTATCGTGCCTTCCGCAAAATTTATTCGTGGATATACTATTCTTAAAATAACGCAAAAAATGAAATCGATTATCTATATTTCTTTACGCTGTACTTGTTATGTAGATACGTTGTAACATATTTCTGAAGAGAAGTAAAATTTCCATTTGCCAAAAACAAATTTACGTAACCGTAACTGTTCTGTTGTTCATTCAGAAATACATTACCAGAAGACTCCACCAGGATTCATTCCTTAGTACATATAGCTGAATGTTTCATTTTTCTGAGCAGTTGTTGAAAAATGCTTGATTCGCATTATGATTGGTGAAACAGCTTAATATTTAAGAATGTTAACAGGATGAATTTTTTCAATGAATTTTTAGACAACTTAAATTTTCCAAAAAACGTTGGCCTTGGCATTTTGCGAATTTTCCGAAAGGAATTTGATTACTAACATGCGGTAATACCGTTTGAGTTTTAAGCATCTTTGTTAATTAAAATATTGTAACAATGCAAAATAAACTGAAATAAAAACTTAAATACTAATAAATGTTATTGAAATTTCGATTCACATTACGTTTTTGCGTTTCCCTTTGAAAATAAATTTTTGTGAGTCAATGTTTTGAAATTGTAAGAAATATTTTTTGTTCTGTATAAAACAGTATAATTGAACGTATACCCTTTAATTTTTGACGTAATAAGTTTTCATTATATTCTTTAAAAATACTTTTACGAACAATACCTTTGCAGAATAAAGACATAAGAGCTGTACCTCATGTTTGAACCCCCAAACTTACCTACAAACTACGTGCATTAACCCTCAAATGTCATATTCAGCAATCTAATGAGTTCGAGTACATATTGCTTTGCCGTACGAACCAGATTTTCTTGCTTGTTGCGCTTTGCATTTACAGTATGTTACCTTTAGCTTTCCCTATAATTATGCAGGATTGGACGAAATCAGAGGTCCAAGGTCATGTGTTCCTTTTTGCGAAAGTAATCAATTTAGATACTCTTGGGAGTAGTAATAAGTCAAAGGTTTAAATGAAATATTAAGGGTATTGAAATAGAAGGGATTGACACGTAGATAAGATATGCTTTTTAGTATTTAATTTGGAAGTAACAAGATTCTGAAATTGTAAAAATTTACTCTTGAAATTTCCTTAAACGCCCACTTATCAGTGAAAATGAGTTTATCATTCTACTTTATATAACTAAACAAAATTAATATTTGACAGTGAACAGTTATTTCATAACTGGAAATGAAAATGCAGTATTATTGAGTTTACAATTTCTATTAAAAATTCGTAGTATTTCTGTAGAACATTTATCAATTATTTTAATTTTAAAATGCGGTTAAAGCTCAAACTGTTGAAGGTTAAACGAAATTTCTACGTTTTAGATTCAGATACCTTTTTCATAAAGCAAACCTGCACGTAATTGCAGTGCACATAGAACTGAAAGTCTGAAGGCATCCGGGCCCACCAGCGGCCGAGCGGTAAAGTCGCTGAACACTGGTAGTTCCGTCCGAGGTTCGAATCCTGCGAACGGGCTGGCTGCATGGGTGTTTTCCCCATGTGTAACGTGTATACGAGCCAGTTTCCCTTAGAAAGTCCTCCACGAAAGGCATCCCTCCCCTTAGGCAGATAGCCCTAGTGTGCTTTTCCATAATTAAATACACACACACTCACACTCACACTCACACTCACACTCACACTCACACTCACACTCACACTGAAGGCATCCATATTAATTTGCTAACGAGAACACATTTTTATTTTTCAAATATTTTTGGTATAGCTTGAAGAGGTCATTTGCACTCACGAAGTTCAAATTTATAAACTTGCTTAATAAAGTTGTATCGGAAAATGGATGTAAATTTATTAAATTGTTGTTTTACAAATTTAACAGAGTTCCCTACAGTTTACGTAAACACTACAACAATGACTCGTATGACGTTTAAACTTATAAATGCTGGTTGTAAGTTTTATTTTAATGGGAACATGTGTTAAAAATACTACAGAAAGGAAAATGTGTTAAATTTTCGCTTATATACGTTTAATTTCAACCTGTGATTTTTAAGGCAATCCGCATATATTTTATTTAAAGTAAAACGAGTTTTTTGATTTGATTAATTTGTTAAAAATTATTTCTTTTCAGAGCCAAAACAGGAAAGAGACGACCTCATAAATCCATATTGGATAGAAGATAAGGATTTAAAAAGAGGCGAAGTAGAATACCTTCCAGGAGCGGAAATCCAGTTTTGGAAAGATTTGATTGATAAATATTTGTACCCAATAGAACAGAACAAAGAACATCAAGCACGTGTTGCTTCGGAATTAAAGGAATTAAGGAACAAAGTAGTTTTTGCGTTTTTCATGTTCAACGCTCTCTTCATCTTAATTGTTTTCCTTCTTCAACTCAACAAAGATCAACTCCATTTAGATTGGCCTTTAGGAGTTAGAACCAACATCACATATATACCAGAAACTAGCGAGGTTCGAATCGAAAAAGAATATTTGGAATTAGAGCCCATTGGTTTAGTTTTTGCTGTGTTTTTTGCCTTAATTCTTGTCATTCAATTTGTTGCCATGCTGTTTCATAGATTTGGAACATTATCTCATATAATGGCATCAATTGAAATTTCTTGTTGCAACCAGAAAGTTGACGACATAAGTGATGATGCTTTCATAGATAAGAATGCTGTGCAAATAGCTAAACAACTTCAGAGACTGCGGGGCATAGACGACGATGAAAAAAGTGAAGAATCACTGTACGGTGACAGGTTAGCTAGGAGAAAAACCATTCAGAATTTGGAAAAGCGAAAAAATCAGAGAAACAGGATTGGAACTTTGGATGTAGCTTTCAGAAAGAGGTTTATGAACATAAATGTGCATGATGCTGAGCATGGAAATATACGTAAGTGTTACTTATACATTATGTAGAAACTTTTAAGAGTTAAACATCAATTGATTTTGCAGAAGCTAAACAGTCATGTTTAATTCGTTATGGGGAAAGGCAGCTGAATTATTGCGACAGCAAAGCTGAATTCGAAAATATTATTCATTGGCATTTAGTGAACTAATTGATGCCTAGTGGTTTACATCATAAAACAAATTTACGACCCTCGATAAGATGCGTAATTTTATTAAAATGCTTGCCCTAGTAATCAAACTTCTGTGCTTGTCATTGAGTTTCCTATCAAAAAGCAAAACCAATACATTATTTGTTATTTTTAAATTTAAGTATATCTTTTGTGGCTCACAATGCAATAAAGTTCATATTCTTCACAAGTGAATTTGGACATAAAGTATGCAGTCCAATGTAAATTAAAATTACTAGATATTCTGTGCTACCATTTAGAGCATGTTTTTGCAATACAAATTGTAATTTGGTTTGTCTGAAAATCGACTAATGATTCTTCAAAATTTGGCTCTAATTCGTAAAGTAGCACTGGGATAGCTAAGAATTCTCTTCATCCCAAAAAATTTATCTTGCGAGATGAAACTTCAAATATTTTTGGACGGAAGAAAAAAACCAATCTGTTCATAAACAGCACAATGCCGTTAAGAATCCGGTCATTAGGTCTGAGATAGGAAGTGGCCTTAAAATCGACTGTTTAAATTTAATCTGTTGTAAATTTGCCGGAGGTTTTGGATTTAAGCTCAGAACACTTGAAACTGTAAAGAGACAAACATTTAATGACTTTATTTCATTGGAGCCGAATAAAAAATAGTTAATTTAAACATCTGATTTCGAAGTTTGTTTTAAAAGTTAATGTAACAGACATGCTAGCTTTTCATTCTACACTTCTTAGTTTGAATACGTAAACGAGGATCTTAAATTATCGTTAGATATCTTTTTGAGATAAAGTAAAAAGAGACTTCTAAACAGAAGTTGGTTTGGTGTTGAAAAACTGACACAAATCTCCAGTTATTACACATCGATTTCTTGCTTTGAGATTATGAAAGATAGTTATTTGTACTTCCTAGTCTACATGCTAGAATGAACCTTCAAAAATATTTTTACCGAGTTAAGAGATTGGCGTTGACCCATTAGAATGTGTCTGGTAGACGCTCTGAAATTTATATAGAGCACATCCACCGAGCGGTGTTACCTCATGTGTGAACGTGAGTACGAGCCATTTTCCCTTAAAATGTCATCCGCGAAAGGATCCCTTCTCTCATGTAGAAAAAATTTGAGTCATAATCTAAATGAATAGCATTATCAGCGTAACTAAGGGAAGTTATATCCAACATCTGTAAAGCTCGGACCATTTTCCTCTTGCATTATGTACCATTTTGAGTTTTGAAATTTTAAATGTGAAAGTTGAAGATTTTACTCTAATTATCCTGTGCAATTAGATGAAAAACCAGAAATTTTATGTTTTGTTCTCCCTTGAAAAATAATAAAATGGTATAAAAGGCATTAAAATCCTTGATATAAAAATGATTAATATATTATAAATTATGATTAACTATATAAGAGGTAACGATAAAATAAAAAGGTACGTTTTGCAACTAAAATTACTTGAGCTGTCAGTTGTGGTAGGGCTTAACTGAATATGGTAAAGCATGCAAAGACTGCCTGCTAACGGATATTTTTTGCAGGAATTTTAAGGAAACTGGCTCGTATTTACGTCTTACTTTACGAAACATGCGATTAGTAAGTATAAAAAAGGTAGTACTTATCTCGAGTGTCTGAAATCATTATTAATGAAAAATCTACAATTAATTTTAATCAAAGCAAAATTATTAAGAAAAAAAAATTTCAGTTTTAAATTTTGTTTTGATGACATTTAAAAATGTATATCCCGACAACTTATTTCTTAAATTATTCCTTAACCATATTCACCGAAGTATAAATTTCAAAGTTATAACGCGCTGATATTTTATGCTGGGCATCCCAAAGAAAATAAGGTTTCGAGCCTGGTGAAGGCGACTTTCTCAGTATGAAAAACTTATTCTGAAAGAAACTGTTTTACAGTTCTACGCTAGGATACAAGGATGTGGCAAAAGGCCATTTCCAATAAACAGTATCCATCTGTAACGGGGAGGTTTGAGTGAACGGGTAACGGAGCACTAGCAGATGGGTATTAAAAGTACTAGAATCTTGGCTAGATTTGACTCTTAATTCCTATTGATGCAAAAGCCTTCAAATTTGATTGTTGGGAAGAATGATGAGCCATAACGTTTTCAATACCTTTCATAAATTTGGGCAATATATATGTACGCCTTACGCTCGCAGCTGTGTTTTTAAGAAGCGCCTATCTAGTAGATCGGGACTAGATTTAATGGTGCGCCAAATTCGGTCAAAATTTGGTTAAAATACGAGAACATGTAAATGTAATACTGCACATTCCTCCTAATTTTGATAAATAAGACTAAAGACATTTTCTTAAAATTATGCCACTCGTGTTAGGCACGAAAACACCATTCCTCTTTATATAATCTGAAGCAATCTGACATTACGCGTGGAATAAATTTATCTCGAAATATTAATCGCATTTATCTAATCTTTATACAAATTAAAATTATTGCATCATAAATTCTGTAAATTGCTGTTTAGTCTCGTAATAACGTTAACTATACTTCATTTCTTGAACTTCGTACATTTTCCTAATGGAAAATTGGAAATTGGACGCGAGTTTGAATCCCAACAGACGGTTTCTTAGCGTGGGGGTGGTCATCTTTTCCTTTGTATATTATAAATACGAACAATTTGAAATTTTTCCTTTGTGTATTATGAATTCACAAAAGCTTCAGTCTCTTTAGGCAGATAATCCTCGTACGCTTTGCTGTATTCAGCTGAAAAAATCTTAGATTTCTTCCAGCTTGGAAGAAACCCTGCTTAACGTTAATAAGATCATTACAGCAAGGCAGCTCTTTCTTTAATAGTGTGCGACTTATTTATAATATGAATGCTAATGTTACTATTTTTTCTTTTCAGCAACGCCCGTTTTAAATGGACTGAATCGCTTGGGGCGTAGCCGTGAAACTCTTCGAGCACTAGAACTCCGCCGTAATAATGTTTTGGGAAACAACAGCAAAATGGAGACCCTGGGGGCTAAGAATGAGTTTAATGCTCGCAATCGTAATTCCAGACCCAAAAATGGCGACCTAAGAAGAGTCGACAAGATATTTTCGAAACAAAATGGCAGCGTTGATCAAAGTTTTGGTAATAAAGCCTACGATGGGAGTTCTGACGAGGAAACAGGAGGAAGAAATCTTGGAATGCAAATATATGGCTCTAAGACAAGTTTAGCCAATTACAGAGAAGAAACTGAGACAGGGCGAAGACGACAAAGTCATCTCTGAATGAGTTATATTTGACAAGCTCTTTTTATGTAGTGACTTAACATTCTTAAATACCTCATAACTAGGAACTCTTTATGCAATTTCTTCAATAATTAATGAACTCGAAAAGTAACTTCAGAGTTCAGTAATATAGTTGAACTAATTCTTTAAAAGCCCATTACTGAATGTACAAATTTTTGCTTTTATAACTTTATTCATCGCTCACAGGTTTTATACACCAAGCTTAGCTTAATTTTAAGTGCAATATATCTTCCAAGCTTATGCATGGTGCTTTGATAGTCATAAGTTAAGGTACCTTAAGATTTACAGAACCGAATGGTCTTGTTTCTTCTACGTCTTATTGTGCAATTTCATTTTAATTGAGGTTGAAGGTCTTTAAATTTTATCGTTTCAGGTATGAAGTGAAATGACGAGGCCCTTAATAACTAAACGTCTTAGTTTTAGGATTACTTCCTAAATTTTCTGTACATAATGAAAGGAATGACGGCTTTGTTCCAAGTGATTAAATATTTGAGTTTATGGAAAATGTAATTTTATAAGTGTTAAATTAATATATTGTGTAGTTTTATTTAATGAATTTGTAATATTTGACAAATAAAATTATTTTATTCTAAGAGTGCAATTATTGTTATGTACACGTATGGTTTCAAATTTTGAATGCTTTAACAGGTGTAGGTTTATATTTTCTGTAACTAATGCACAACTCCAATTACGATTATTCGAGACCTAGTGAATAATAGGACAGTTGCCAGAAGTTTCCGATATTAAAGATTTAAATCTATGAAAATAAATTAATTCTACCGAGACGTATATGAGATATCATTAGGGGTTGTCCCATCTTTTTCATAAACTTGTGTCAAACTGAGTGTAACGTCATTTCACCTTTGGCGTAATTCATTTTTACGAATATAATGCATTACAATTAGAAGCAGAGTTCAGTTTTAAGCTTTCTTGTTGGTTAGTCTAATACGCTAAGTGATATCCGAGATTTAGGAAACAACCACATAGATTTTGGATATTTCTAGCGTGGCGTTATTTTGATGTCTGTCCGAAGTTCAATAAATTTTGTTTTCAGGACAGTAAAACTGTCAATTGCTAAGCTCCATATACAGACGCAGCAGACATAGATCCCCCGCCCAGGTCCGACTTGCGGACACATACGGAGTTTGGATATCTATGGTCCAGGGGACCTCGTCCTCGCGTGCGCTACCCCCGCACTTCCCGCCCGTCTTCATACAAAGCATTGGACAGAACAAATCGTAAATATGAATTTAACTTAGTCAGTTTGACTCCGGGCACCACTCCATCGGCTAAACGTACGTCGTAAAGTGCGCTCTGACCACTGTCAATCCCCGTCGCGAGAACTGAATGAGGTCAAACCCCCGGGGACTTCGTCAACGATCTCCAATCTAGCTCCACCACAGCCGAAGGAGCAGAAACGGCAGTACCAGTACGGTCCCTGCCAAGCCTGAACTAACCTGAGTACAACCCGAGTACTCGGGTTCTAGTCCTGTGAAGTCAAATTATATACACCCCCGTGGTTGAGACTGCCTAGGTACAGATCCTAACCAGTACTTCCCAGGAATTCTGAGTCAACGCCTGGAGGGGGAGGAAGCTCCACATACAGTCAGTTCCCTACCGGTTTTTTTCACAATTTGTTTCAGCTCCTAGAGTCTTCCCGGGAGCTGTTGGCATTTTCATAGGTTATTGCTGTCCCCTTTCTCTTCAATAAACACTTATTAAAATATAATTTATTAGCATGGTAAAGGAACAAAATGATAGAGGCTCATCCTTTTACTCTCACAAACTTCGTAGCAAGTCAGCCCTTTGTCTTTCGGCCTCTTTCAGTGTTGCCTCTCCGTGTCAACGTGATACTCTTCAACGTACTTGCTGGGGCAGGCTCACCTTCCGAAGAGTCTCTTTACCGTCAAATAACCAAAGGCATTCAAGAGTATGAAAATGTTACAATGGATTATCTAGAGATTTATTGTGTCAAGCTGAGGATAACTGCTCTAAATCGCATTTCTGTTCGTCTTATTTCTGTGTTTTTGTCATTTCACTTTTAGCATGCCCATTTAGTCCAAGAGGTCTCAATCTTTCGACATTCATGGTTTGCTCTTGCTTGTTATTAATGTGTTTATAACGTTTGGTAGAATCGCAGTTTAGTAGAGGGACACGTTATAAAATTAAAAAAACATGAACGTTTTACTAACTAGACGTTTTGTCTAGTAGAAAGGTTACGTTAAGCCAAATCAACTCGTGGCCTATCTGGCTGTTAGTAGTGGATATTCGTGGACTATTTTTAGGGAAATTGGCTGGTACCTGTTATAAATGGAGGAAATCCATGAACTCTCATGCAGCCTTCCCGGGATACTAGCACGAGTCGAAGTGCCAGTGTTCAGCAACCTTACCGCTTGGCCGCTGGAGGGTTCAGGGCCGGCTTTAGATTTTTTGCCGCCTTATGCAGACTCTGGAAACACAAAATTTTGCCGCCCGGTGCGGTAGCACTGGTTGTGAATGTCCTTGCGCCGGCCCTGGGTGGGTCCTTTATAAAGGTTCGGTTTTATATTTGATATTCTTCTACCCACCTACCAAAACGCTGGTAGTGTACTTTTCCTAAGCGCGAAAAGAAAAGTATTTGCGTAAAGCTGCGATCAAATATCGCAACACGTTTGCTATGCATTACCGAAAGTCATCCAAATCGTTCATTGTCGACAAAGCTGCGTTCTTACCTCTTATAAGCTGGCCAATATGTTTTGATAATGCCCTGTAATAAAAATTTTACCTAGTATTAAGTTTTCAAAAATTTAGCAAAATTTCTAAAATCTTTATTCTAACGTTTTTTTTAATCAGCATGCAACCTCCTTTTTCATTAGACGCACTGAACAAATATGTGTAACTTATGTTTTAGCTTTTTAGTAACCGCCGTGCATTTCATGTACCCATAAGTGTATGCTTATCGGCTGTGGTTAAAGTACATTAGAAAAAATGTTAATGGTCATGACTATGTTCATTACAAAACGTCGAGTACCAGTACAGCACTTAAATTTCTGTCTCGTTTCTGCAAGTTTGTTTTATTTAATTATGGCAAAGTACACGAGGGCTGTCTGCCTAAGGGAAGGGAAACTGGCTCGGATATACGTTATACATGGAGAAAACCATGAAAACGCCCGTGCAGCCAAACCGTTCGCCGGGATTCGCACCCTAAACCGAGCTACCAGTGTTCAGCGAATTTACCACTTGGGCCGCATTGGAAATAGTGTAATTGTCCCAACTAAAAATTTTTATAGACCCTGACAAAATGGATATTCTTGTAGAACTCTATAGGAATTGCGATAGAAGTCTAAAAGTTTTCGGTAAGAGTGTAGCAAACCATTGCAGGATTTAAGTGAAACCTTCGGAACTTCATTTATGAATGAAATTGGAAGTTAGGCTGAAGCTTGAAATAAAGTTAACTTCGGTATTTGAATTTGTTTAATTTGTCTCTAATTTACTTTATCTCCTTTATTTCTTCATTTATTATTATGTAATTTATTTTTATTTACTTTTTCTGATAGGCTTTCATAATGCCTTTTTCTGATAGGCTCTCATAATGAATTTAGAAACCTTGAACCAATGTCTTGCATTAAGCTTTACAAGAGCAAGACGTGAACAAGTTCGGGGATACATGAAAATTATTATTGTGTACTGGAATTACTTTCTGACTTATCACTAGATGGCAGCACTGACCGCCAACCTAGCGTGATGGTTTTTAAGTTCTTTTTAATTTGTTATATATTTTTTAAGAACTGGCTGATGCAAATTAACTGTATATAATATTTTTGTTTTTAAATTAAATTTCTTTAGAGTAAATTCCACCACAAATGGGTTTCCTGCTTGTATCAGGCGAGCAATGGCATTCGTGAAACTAACAGGTATAACGTATCTACCATTTACTCCTTCAGTTTTCCTTATCAGGACAAGAATAAAATTATCCTCATAGAGTGGAACCTCCATGCCCCACAGTGAGAGTAATGAGGTGGAGAAGGGGCTCTCGGATTGCTACATGTAATGAAACTCAAAATTTGTTACGCATAGTTTCGTTACATGTCAAATTAATTACGTGTCATATTAATGTATATTTTTACACTCATTATTTTTTTACTTGTTATCATTTATTAGGCAATAAAATAATCTAATAAGTAACCTTCCTTCTCTGGAGTAGTAAATATTCTTTATCTGGGACTCAAATACCTTCTTCCAGCTCTATTACTGATTTTATAGTGCACCTGAATACTCTAGGACAGCTGTTCCCAATTTGCACTCCATGGAGCCTTTAATTAGAGTTCTAAAGAGCTCCGCGTACACTTTTCAGGCAAGGCCGTTCCTAGTGGGGTGCAGCGCATAAAAGTACGCGGGCGGCCGGACACTCGCGATACCACGCCTAAATTATTTTAAATTCATTGTAAGTACTTGTCATATGCAAGTGCTTTCTATACATTATGTCACATGTAAGTACTTAGTGAGAATGAAATAACAATTGTATTAATCATTGAGCACTTTTTTTAAGTTGGAGGAGGGGGGCGGCAATGACCTAGGAACGGTTCTGTTCTCGGGGGCTCCTCGGTTGCTCCAGGAAAATAAAATAAATGAAAAACAAAAAGTGGAAGCAAAATTAGATATTATATTCTCAACGCAGAAATTCGTCAAGTCTAATTTCGTGTCTGCTCTAGCAGACGATGCTTGAATGCTGTGTTTCTTTGAAATTGTATATTCGAGAAACTGCTCGAAACTTAGCACCATATAATACAGATTATGCGATTTGGAGTCACTTTTGACGCTGACGCTGAATGTTCATAGTGATGAGATTGTAAATTCTTATTGGTTCTTCCGCGAGTTTTCTATACGTTTGATTTCTTTGTGAGGGTTATAGTTGGGAAGCTAGTAAGTGTCCATTAATAAACATAATAAAAATTATGTACTGTTTTTAAACCCCGAAGTCTTAAAAGAAGACTCTATAAATTAATGTTTGCCGAATATGTTAAGCCACAATGAGTTGTCCCTGCTGCATTCTGAAATAAGGTGGTGGTCTCGAGAACAACATTGAAGGATTTGATGAAACTGCACGCTCAACTAGTTCCACTTTTAATGGGCCAGCAAGAGTTTCATTAAATATGGTTCAAAACGCGAATTCCTAACCTTTTTATGGCATAAATCACTTCTAAAATAGTATTTTTATTCATTGAGGCACCCCCTTAATTTTTTCTGTCGTATACAGCATTCAACATGATCATAATACAAAAAAAAGCACATAACTTTTAAAGATTAAAATTATATAAGAAAAACTCTTAAAATATGCCGTATTAGATATGTTTCATTATTCTTTGCACGGCTGTTATGATCAATTTTACACATATAAAGTTTTCAGAAACAAAATTAGATTTTATTTGCACAGACGTTCGATTTTAATGATTGATTGCGCTTGATGTATTGATGCAAATTAAAAAAAATATTTGGCATAAAATTGCCTAATTTAATTCTTAAATCGCCTTGTTCAGGAGTATTCAACCCGTTTCTTCTTTTCTTGTAGCAAGTTAACTCCTGTCTTAAAATTGTTATTGAGGCGTCCAGTCGG